CTTCGCCCAGCGTTGAACCCTGCCTTGGAGTCACAGCTCAACCATCCCCCGAAAGGAGCCTACCAGCAAGTGGCAGAGCCGTCCTGAGCTTAGCCTGTGCTACTTGAGTGCTCACCTGCGGCAGCAGTGCGGGCCGTGAGTCCGGCTGTGGCCCGAGATACAGCCCGAGGACCAGCAGATGGGAGAGTGAGGAGGCGAGGCCCGCGACGGCGGCGTCTCGCATGCCCAAGGGCAGCATGGCATACACCGTGAAGATGACGAAGACAAAGTAGGACACCTGGGGGAGGGGCGCGGGAAGTTGAAGGTCCTAGTGGCGCCATTCAAGGCCCGGCGTGGGATCGAGGCCCGGGCTGTCCCCGCTGCCCCGCCTGCCGCCCCTCTCACCTGGTCCCAGGCGCTCACCACGCCCCCGGTGAACAGGAAGGCGTGGCCTAGCGCTAGCAGCGCGGCCCACACCACGCCCGACAGGGGTCGCGTCCAGCGCTGCAGTCGCTGCTCGCGGGAAGCGAGGCCCAGCAGCAGCGAGAAGCCGCCCAGCGCGCACATCACAGTGGTCAGGAAGCTCGGGTCTGAGGCCAGCTCCTGTGGGCAAGGGGTGTGCGAGGCAAGATTATGACAGGGAGAAGGAAAGAACCTGGTAAAGGAAGAACCGGCAGCTCGGCCCTCAGCCCATTTCTGAAAGGTGTCTCGAGCCCAAGTACGAAAAGGAGGCAAGGCACCTCCACTTGCCATTCATTTTAGGTTGAACCATTTGAAATTGCTTGTGTCCTACTGTTTTTATCTAGACTCAGCAATCTCGAATGGATTTTGTTCGTTGGTTTTTTGTTTTGTTTTGTTTTTTGAGGCATCTCTCTCTGTCGCCCAGGCTGGAGTTTCGTGGCGCGATCTCGGCTTACGGCAACCTCTGCCTCCCGGGTTCACGCGATTCTTGTGCCTCAGCCTCCCAAGTAGCTGGGATTACCGGTTCCCGTCACCACGCCCGGCTAATTATTATTGTTATTTTGTATTTTTAGTAGAGGCAGGGTCTCGCCAAATTGCCCGGGATGGTCTCGAACTCCTGTGCTCAAGCGATCTCCCGCCTCGGCCTCCCAAAGGGCTGGGATTACAGGCGTGAGCCATCGCGCCCAGCCTCTTGCGATTCAACCTATTATCTCGCTGAGCCTGGGACAGCTACCCAGAAGAACTGGCTCCTATCCCCTATTTGTGAATCCATGACCTTTCAGACCCTCGGTTTTTGTTTTGTTGTTGTTGTTGTTTTAAAATCAAACGGGAACCAAGGCGTTGTGAAGCAAGTGAAAGATAGATCCTAGCTCACAAGGAGGCACTTCGGAATGAATGTCTCCAAATCTGGCCAATTTGCTCAGGAGATTCCCGGCGCCCGGGCCGGTGACTGGGAGCTTGGAGGGCGGTGGAGGCAGTGCTCCAGCAGCACAGGGCGGGCGTCCGGCACCTCCCTGGCTGCCAGGGCTGCGATCTCGCCACCTGCCTCAACTCTTCGAAGAAGCCTCACCGCCGTCCCCAACTTCTGTTCCCACCTCTTCCCGGATTTCGGCGTGGACCAGCAAGGATTGGCCGCGCCCGGTGATTTTCCCACCTTGCCTCCAAGGAGTGAAAAGAAAACCCGGGCCAGGCTGTTTCTAGAATTGGATTGAAGACCCCCTTCCTCCCCAAACAAACTGGAATGGTTTATTTCGGGACTTAGTGAGGGCCGGGTTGGAGGGTGCCTTTTGGGAGTCTATGGGTACAAGTGCCCCACATCCCCTAAGAGGGAGAGAAAGCCAGGAAATGAATTCCCCAGGGGCCTCCTAGAATTTCCCCTTTGGAAAACTGGAAAATCCGGCGATGGATTTATTGTGGAACCTGTAGACCACAGATGCCCCTAAAGTCTGTCGGAACCGGGACAGAAACGGGAAGCATCCAGGACTCAGCTTTCTCCCCACGCAGACTCAGAAGGGTAGAGTGACTTGCCCAGGGTCACTGCAGTTCCTTGCCAGGCTCAACGGTCCTTTCTTTCTCGGCTCCCAGCAGCGAAATCATATCGAAAAGAAGACCCCACCAACCCCAACCCCGAAAATGCCCCCCAGGCAGCGACCCTCCCGCAGCGGAGGCCCGGCTCACCCTGCCGCTGGCCCAGGCCACGGCGAGCAGTGCCGCGAGCGCGCAGAGCACGATCCCCAGCAGCAGCAGCAGCAGCGGGTACTGCTGGCTCAGGCTGTAGTAGGTCTCGTAGAAGAGGTCTTCGCTGGGGGGCGGCCGGAGGCTGAAGAGGCGGGCCATGATCTCTCCCGCCCCGAGCCCCGGGGCTGGCAAGGGCCGGGCTCCGGGTTACCTCCTTTGGCCCGGCGGGCCCCACCTGCGTCTTTTTCACCCTCTCCAAGCCGCTTTCACCCCGCGCCCCCAACCTCGCGGCAACTCCGTCTCCTTTTTCAGGCCCTCCCGGCGGCCTCCCAGCCCGCTCCCAGCTGGCGACGAGGGGATCCTTCAGTCCTTTCCTCCTCCTCCCTCATACCCGGAGTGTGGAGGTGCCCTAGCAAAACCTCATCGCCAGGGGGGCAGGACTTGGGGTTGGTGCGAGGGAGCCCCTGGTTCCCCTGTCCCCCGAACTCACTGCCCGCGGCGCTGGCGCAGCGGAGTGGGCTGGGCCAGGGGAGAGAGCCAGGGGTCTGGTGGCGGAGTCACGCTCGCCGCTGTGCTCTGGCTCGGAGTCCCGGGCGACAGGAGCTTTCCTCCCGGCGCCGCGGGCCCCCTCCCACTTCCCCGACAGGACAGCCCGTCCCCTTCCTGTGCAGAAGCCGGACTCCCCTGGTATCCTCCCCCACTTGGAGGAGGGGAGGATCCCCGCTTCAGCCCCTTCAGGGAAGGGCAATGTGGACCCTGAGAGAGATGCGAAGGGATGGGCTGGGGTGGACCGAATGGGTTGTGTCCGAATGGGGGTGAACGTTTGGTACTAGGGAGTCTGAGGGGGGCTGAAGACTGGTGAGAATGTAGGGAAGAATGTGGGTCACGATGGGGATCTAGGTCAGAGTCGGGGGCGCTAATTCCCCACCCCTCTCCAACTGGCTGGCAACCACTGCCACCAGGTTTGAACTGTTCGTGCTCCGTGGGAGGGGATGCTCGGGTGTGTAGCTTTAGGAGCCATAGCTTTCCACTCCTCAACAGCAGCTGGGAATCAAAAGGGAAGCAATGTCTAGGAAGCAACCTGAGTGTGTGTTGGAGACAGGTAGGGGGCATCATGACCTCCAAGAGCCTGGGGGCACTGTGCAGGGCCTGGTCTGTTATCTTTCACATGGACATATCCCTCCCTGTGGAGGCACAACTGAGTCTTGAAAGCTCAGAAGACAAGGGACCACAGCTTCTATCCCCAGAGTTTAGGGTTAGGGTGGGGCTGCCATCCTAGGCTTTAGAGGAAGGAAGCACCACCCTGAGATTAGAGTGGTCTGGGGAACCAGGCCTCTGGGATTCATTCCTTCCTGTTGTAGATGGCTGGGCCCTGACCTTGTGTACCAGGCTGTTGCCCATTCCCAGCCCCCAGCATCCCCACTTCCTGCCTTAGCAGAGCTGTGGTACCTCCCTCTCCCTCACTGGCAGCCCCCACCCCCATCCCAGTCCCTCCCTGCCCCTGGCTGAGCTCAGACTTTGGCTAGCATTCCATCATGTTTATTGGCTCCTGGGGGAGAGATCACAAAGTCAGTTTGTGGGCAGGCCAGACTGCCCTAAAAGGAAGTCAGGGGCCTCACTGGGTGGCGCTCTTCCTTAACTCTTAACTCTTGGAGGCAGGCTCAGAAGGTGCTTTATTTCCCACTATGATTATACCCACTCTGTGGCTCACTCTAGGCTTCAGGTTCTTTAGGGCCTTCTTGCAAACCTACTAGTGGGGGGTGCTGCCAGCCTCTGCCCATGCCCAAAGGTGCCAGACCCTGGGTGGGCAAGGCAGTTGTCTGTGAAGCATGAGTGGTGAGAAACAAACCTCTGGAACACCAAACTGAGGAAGGAAGTGGCTTTTTGTTTGGCCTGGAGCTGCGGCGGGCTACAGCCTCATTCACCGAGCTCCTCAGAAGCAGCTTCTCTCCCCTTTTAGAGGCTTAAAATACTAAAGGGGGAAACTGAGGTGAAACTATGTCATTGTCCATTTGCTGGACATCCGACCTTACAATCCTTTGACTTCATTGATTTGCTAATTCATATGCAGTGTGAGCGGGAACAGGCAGAGGAGAGGGCTTACAGAGACTGGACAAAGGCAGTAAACTATTTGTTGGCAGCGGTGTTTCCAGGAGGGAGCCGGCCGTGCAGTTGTGGGGGCTGACCCAGTGCCAGGCTCCAGCTGGTAGGGATGACATTCATTTGCAACTCTTTCAAGGCTTACAGAGAGCAGAGACACTGGGAACTGAAAAGGTTCTTCGCAGTTCTTTGGTATTTCGTTTTATTTTAGAGATGGGGTTTCCCCATGTTGGCCAGGCTGGTCTCGAACTCCTGACCTCAGGTGATTCACCCACCTAGGCCTCCCAAAGTGCTGGGATTACAGGCATGAGCCACTGTGACCAGCCTATTTTATGTTTTTCACCCTCCTTCCCATCCAGTGGGGAGGAGGAGGTGGCGGCTGGGAAGTGGGAGGAGGGGAGGGGGGGGTCTCCCCTCTCATCCGTAGCATAGTCAAGTAGTTATTGTTTTCAATTTGCACCCCAGAGCAGTTGTGTAAGGTAATAGATGGTGTCTCTTTAAGAGAAAAAGTAATGGTGGCAGGAGGGTTTAGCTGTCAGTAAGGCAAAGTTGAGGGTGGGTGGGGAGTATGAGGTTTCCACTTGTCAGTGGCTTGTGTCAAGGTGTGCCCTGTGCCCTCCCCTTCAGAGTTCCTCTCCAGAATTGGGTTAGCAGAAGCTGTAGAGAGTGGCAATGGACATTTGAGACCCTGATCTTTTTGCTGGGAGGTTCTCTGGACTGCTGAAACAACAATGGAACGTAGGGACAACACACAGAGCTGGTGTTGTGCAAAGTTAGAAAACTCAGGGACAAATCCAAGCTTTATTGTGAGACCTCAGAGTGCTCCTTTCTCAGGGGCTGTCAGTTTTCCCATTTATGAAATGAGAAGGTTGAGTTAGATCGTCTTCTCTCCTCCCCTCCACAAGTTACCCTGAATCTAGTTATAGGTCTGGAGGAAGAGTCTGGTGGAATAATTGAACAGGGAAAAAAAGGGGTAGAGAGTGGGTATCTGTTACTGGATTTGGTTCCAGGTTCCTGGAGGACCAGTTCATGCCATGTCTCTTAGCCCCCTGCAAACAGCACAGAGCATTCAGTTCTGTCCCAGAGTCTGGTGTTCCCTCTGCACTCCTCTCAGCTCCAAGTTTTCCCTGGCAAGGGGAAAGGATTTATAGGAGTTCTAGTGCATCCCCTAATCCTGCCAATGTCTCACCTGATTCCTTTGGGGTCTAGGACCTGGTGTTCCAGTTGAGGTGGGGCTGGGTGTCTGGTTTCTGAAAGTTGAGGTCTCTGGAGTCTGGGGAGGTTGAGCCATTGAATCTGAAGATGTCCCTGCTGTCCTGGCTTGTGGAACCTGCTCCTCTTGTGCCCTGCTCTTCTTGGTAAGACTTGGGTATTTTTCAGGAACACAGCTGGAAGAATCCTCTAGATTCAGTTTATTTAGCAGGTCAGAATCCATGAAATCATCATAACAGTGCTGCCTTCCTGTGTTTCTCCCAAAGCCATCCATTTCTGTCTTTCCTTGGCCTGACCTATTGCTGCTCCTGAGCTCAGACAGGAAATTCTTTACCTGCAGGGATGGAGGAGTTTGCTGGGTATAACTTGGATGAGCCAGAGCAAACCCAAGGGAGTAGTCTCTTGGTCCATAATCTGTTGGCTGGGAACTCGGGGGTGGGCTGGGGAGGGTGGGGACAAAGTTCAAGGCATAAAAAGCGGTGATCGGTGGTAAGCCATCATTGGATGGCTAGGTAGTCATGTTGTGCTATCCCTGACCAGCTCCTGGAGAGGGATGATGTTGGGAGCTCACTGTGGAGACAGCAGCATTCATATTGTTCTTCACCAGCTCGAAGCCTTCATCGGTTTTTGGTAGGCATTCTAGAGGGACAGTAGATTGGGTTGCAGGTGAGCAAATCTTTTCCTGAGAAGAGCCCCCTGCTGACAGACCCAAGCTTATCACAGATCCAGCTAACTGGGCAGCTCACCCTGGAAGGAGGGTCTGTCCTTGGGCTCATTGCTACAGCAGAGCTGCATTAAATCCTTCAGTCCTTCCAAGCCAGGAGTCTCAGGCCCAGCTTGGGACAGTTCATTTAGTGAGGGCTGGGCCTCCCTCTTGCACACTGCTCCATACACCAGTGATGCTTCGGTCGGCACTGGGGTAGGGAAGGTGGGTGAGAAGAGAAGGCATTTGGGGTAAAAGGGAATATCTGTCCATCATGGAAAGAGGCAGGGAGTGTAATGTGGGGGCACCATGAGGGAGGAGGGCAGTCTAAGTAGATGAGCAGGAAGGGGAAGACTTGGGGCTTTCAGAAGGGCACCTGGGGTTAAGGATCCCAGAATCTGCCTAGAGTCTTACACTCAGCTTCTCTTCCAGCAAGCACTGCCCACATTAGGATCCCGAAGCTGCAGGAGACACAAAGCTGAGGACAGGTCCAATCACTGGCAAGACTCCCTTCCTATACGTCATCCCCTAGGAGGGCCAAGAGAGGTGTAGGAATCCCCGCTGTGTGTTTGGGGTGGGATCCTTACCTGTAGACATCACTGGCTGGGGAGGCCTTCTGGTTTACATTAACAAACAGTTCTGGGGCCAAGTAGCCCAGGGTGCCCCCTGGCTCCCTAGACCCTGTCCCTGACGGTGAGCTTCCCTGAAATGTGGACAGGCCAAAATCTGCCAGCTGCAAATGAAGGGAAGAAGGGGGAAGCGGGGAAGACAAAGCAGGCAGCCTCCAGAATACTCCCTACCCCCAGATGGTGCAGATTCAGCTTTGTAAAAAGAGTGTGAAGGTCAAGGGAAGGGGTTCCCTTGGGTGGTAGATCTAGGTGCCCTGTGGTAGGGCTGGGTCCAAGTCTGAGTCTCCAGGGCCTGGTGGGACAGCTGGTGGAAATGACTCGTGTGGGTCAGGGCCTCTATCACCTGGTAGGGCAGGAGCTAAAACTCCCGGCTGGGCTTTGTCCCCTGACAACTCTGAGTCCAGAGGGAGAGGCTGTGCCTATTCAACAGACAGGGCTCTGCAGGTCTAGTGTCTGGTGGCCCTGGCTGGAGCAGCTCTGGGGTGGGGCCTTGTCCTGAGGCTGAGAGGGGTGTAGACCGGCTAACCTTGACGTGCAGCTCCGGGTCCAGCAGGATGTTGGATGGCTTGAGGTCCTGGTGCAGGAGCGCCGGGTTCTGCTCATGCAGGTAACACATCCCGAGCACCACTTCTTTCAGCAGGCGGCAGAGGAGTGGCCAGGGCCGAGGGCACTGGGGCTTCAGCAGCCCCGACAGGGAGCCGTTCTCCATGAATTCAGTCACCAGTGCCGGCCTGAAATCGTCGTCCCACCCCACCTCCTCGATGACCCCTTTTAGGCACAGCACGAATTCGTTATTCAGACTTGCCATGGCCTTGACCTCCCTGGATATCGCCTTCCTACACTCCAGTAGAGAGCTGGAGTCGCACCGGGGTCCTGGGAGAATCCCTCCCTTCCCCATTCAGGTCGCAGAGCACAGCGGCTCCACCTTTTTGCCCAGACCTTGGCCGGACACTCACGAGTTCACGATCTTGACAGCCACATCGCAGCCCCACTTCCTATGATGCGCCCGGAACACGTTGCCGAACCCGCCTGAGCCGACGAGCTTGTGGTTCTCCAATTACTTGTCTAACACCAAGGAGGCGGAAGCACCGTTCAACCTGAGAGAGGGGTGTCGCCCACTAGCCGGCAGTGCAGTGTCCGCGCTGCTCCCCCCGCCCCCGTGACTCGGCGCCCACTGCAATCCTCGGCCTCCCTCGCCCGCCCCCACCGTCCCTAGACGCAAAGGCGTTCTCTGAGCGAGTCGCGGGTAGCTCTGGGGGTGAGTGTCGGAGACTCAGATCCACACGCCACTCCCTACTCACCATAACTTGACGTGAGACATCAGGCTGGAAGGTACGAGGGGGCCGCTGGAAATAGCGAGCTGCAGGAGATGGAGTGACTTCCGGGGCTGCGGTCTTTGGTAGAGAGGGGAACGGGTCTGCATGCACAGGCGTCAGTCTCTAGACCAAGATGATGATTCCACTTTCCGGGTTGCTACCGCTATTCCGAGTTGACTGAACAACTTCCCTTTCAGGCGACTCTACAGTCCCGCCCCTGGGGTGGGACGGGGGCAGAACGAAAGCTAGTGCTTTCCTCTCTGACTAGTGTTTCTTGGGCGCCTGCTGCGTGCCGCGGCCAGGTTGGTTGTAGCTGGGCATTGAGGATGTTAGGGAAGGAGTCCTCACCTTCCGGGAACCCACAATCGACCCTCTCCTACAGCCAACGCCTTCCCTTTTCCCACGGGATTTCCTGCTCCACCACCTGCCAGGCCGTGAGTGGGGATGGTGCTTAAGAGGGTTTTATGGTTCTGGGGCTCAGCTCTCTCACAGCTGCCCTAAGATTATAGCCAACACGTATATAAAAGTTACTACACACCAGGTACATATATTAGCTTATTTAATTCTCACATGAACCCTAAGAGGATAGGTACTGCTTTTATTACTATTTTTATGGACGAGGAAACTGAGACACTGAGAGTTTAAGTATCATGCCTAAGCCCATGTGGAAATAATGGCTCTGAACCATCAAGTTTTCCTATTTTCACATAGACTTCAGGGCTGTACCACTCAGCTGGTCATGCAGGTGGTTGGGGAAGGTGTGAAGCATCCAACGATGTAATGAAGGACCCCTATCTGTATTCCTGCCCAGTCCCTATCGCTGCTCTGATAGGGACTTATATGCCCTATGAACAGGAGCCCCTGGAGCTGACAAGCCCTAAAACAACTCCCAGGGCATTGTGGTAAGGCTAGATATATCAGCCCAGCCAGAAGGTTGCTGACATTGCGGTGTACATTGCAGTGGAAACACCTCAGAGCTTTCCTGCCCTCTCTCTTGCATGACAGCTCTTGCATGCAAATACCCTAATTAATGTTCCTGACAAGCACGTGCTCGGACACAGGTCTTTGATAACCCGGGAGCATGCAGCGTCTTAAAGATTTAGGGCAGAAAAAAGGTGTCCATATTTTACCTTTCTAAGGTCTGACCATGACTGGGGGTTGTGGGAACAAGCTAGGGTCAGCCCTAGGCACTCAGTTCTTCACAGGGAGACTCAATCCTGTGGGTTGTGTGTTGGCTCTCACTAAAAGGTGCTCACCTTGGTACTTGCTTTCCATTTTGTCCAGTGGTCCATGGGCTGGTTGAAGCAGAAGTGACTAGCAGTTTTTTCTAGAACAGCTCCTGGAGAGCCATGTCATGGCTTCTGGTAGGGTCAGCTCATGCTATTTTGGAGCCATTTAGGGAATTGTTCAACCATAGTCTCTTTAAAAGCCAATAAATGACAGGTACCCAATAAATATTTATTGAATTGAATGAATAAATGAACAATCAAAAATACTGAGCCTTCCTTAAGACACTGATCATCCTAGATGAAACTCCATACTCATTAGGAGGAAAGAGGAGATTGGGTTCCTGTAGGGATTGAGGGCTCTCACCTGAACAGTTCATGAACTCCATCTGAAGTAGGCTTTAGTATAGAGATATGGCGGTATCACACAGAATCCAAGAAGGCAAGAAGTGTAGCAGATCCTCAGAAAAGCCTAGTCAGAAGCTGAGAGCCATCAGAAGGGGCAGCCACTCCCTTTGTGATTCTCTTTAGAGAGAATAACCTGGGCTCAATATCTCCACTTGAAGGGAGCAGGCATAAGGAGTTCGAAAGTTGTCATAACTGGGTTTTTTCAGATTGGGACGAGACCCTGAGAATCAGGGATAAACCACTGTGAAACACAGGGTTGGGTGTGGTATCAGGGCCTATACTACTTTTTGACTCAAAATAAACAGCCCCTTTAAAAGAAGGAAGAGCAGGGAGAAAAACCTTAGATTAAGTGCCTAACAGGACCCTCAGCCTCCAGCAAGGCGGTGTGGGGGTGGGCTCATTTCTGGATTTTGGAGCTCTGGTCTTTTCTGAGGACTGCTGTCTCTGACCACAGATGTCCCAGGCTTTTGAAGTCTACTTGGGTATTTTTTTAAAAAATTTAATCAGTATTTTGTTTTCACGACAGCGTCTCGCTCTGTTGCCCAGGCTGGAATGCAGTCATGTGATATTGGCTCACTGCAACCTCTGCCTCCCAGGTTCAAGTGATTCTTCTGCTCCAGCCTCCCAAGTAGCTGTGACCACAGGCATGCACCACCTTGCCCGGCTAATTTTTGTATTTTTAGTAGAGACAGTGTTTCACCATGTTGGCCAGGATGGTCTTCAACCCCTGACCTCGTGATCCACCCACCTCAGCCTCCCAAAGTGCTGGGATTACAGGTGTGAGCCACCGCACCTGGCCTTACTTGAGTATTTCTTATTCCTTCAGTTCCCTGCTCCTGATTCTCTGATTACCTTCAGTTCATCTCTGGTTCCCTATCCCTGATTGTTGTAGAGGTAGGGGATTGTGGGGGATCTATGTGGTCTCTCTTTGTATATTCTAGTCTTAATCCTCATCTGTTGTTTAAGAGATTCTTAATTCTCATCTGTTGTTTAATTGTAGACCAAATAGTATTAATTGAGGAGATAATTTTCATTGTATTTAGTGTTTAATTTTTTTTTACAATGGGCATGTATTAATTTTATAAAAAGTTATACAGAAAATAAATTCATGACGCATGCAAAGATTTAGTTATAAGGATATTCACTGGCATGTATTGCTTATAATAGTGAAATAAACAGAACTCTAAATATTCAACAATAAAAAGTGATTGAATACATATGCAAGAGATGACTATGAAGCCATTAAAATTATGCTGCAGGTCTATACTTATTAATATGAAGGTGCTTATCATATATTAAGTGGGGAAAAAAGCAAATTATAAAACTATATAATCACTTTTTTGTTTATTTTGAAAATAATCTTCCAGTTGTAGAACAGATTTGATATTCTTCAAAACCTCCTATGGCAGAACACCTAAATGCTACAGAAAGTGCAACATACATATATATTTAAATTCATTAGTGACCTCCCAAGAAGATAAAGGTAATTCCCCCAAGGGTATACCTCTGAAACCAGCAAAACAAAAAAGTAAACAGTAAGTAAACAGAGAGGTTAATTAGAAACCTAGAGCTTTGGGATTTGTGTATAGGTATGGGAGTTGAGGGAGAACTCAAGAATAAGCCCTGGGACCCAGGAAGATGGGAGAGATGAATCTGAAACACTCCTATTCCCTATAAAGCTGGGACCCCGAAAGTGGCTACATTCTTAGTGGAAAGGGAAAAGTCCACTGCTCATAAAGGGAACCTACAAGGAAATCCACCTAGGATGCAGCACTAGATATTAAAATTAATTAAAATGTTAGTTTCCATGTGAGACTTACTCTCACATTGACCTGTGGTTGGAATTTTTACTTTCCCTTAGATCAAGTAAACCATAAACTGAAAAATTTAAGTGGCTCCAGATTATTAATGCTCCCCAGAGTCCACCAGTAGCAAATCAAATCCTCCTTGGAGGAAAGCATCCTCAATCCAGGCTTCTGCATTAAATTCTGCCAAATATAAACTCACTAAAAATTACTAAATACATAAGGCTTCAAACTATCATGAAGGAGAAAATCAGCAGAAAAAATAATCAACGAGTTTAAACTTTTAAGGACTTCAGAGTTTGGAATAATCAGATAATGAATCTAAAGAAGCTATTGTAAAATGTTTAAAGAAATTAAAAAAATTGAGTAGAAAAATAAAAGAACAAGGGATAAGAGATCATAAACAATGTCCAGATATATTTACAAAAAATGGGACATCAAGAAACAAAAAATGTATGTAACCATTAAAATGGAACTGTAATTTTGGTTAAACAGAAGATACAGCGGATGAAAGAATTAGTGTACTGAAAGATGGAACTGAAGAAATTCTCCAGAATGCAACAGAGACAAGCAAATAGAAAAGTTAAGAGACAAAGAAGGAGGAGGTCTAACATGTCAAATTGGAATCCCATTAGAAGAGAAGTGAAAAAAAAAATGGGGCAAGGCAATATTTAAAGAGAAAATGGCTGACAATTTCCAAGAACTGATGAAAGACAAGGATCCATCTGGGCACAGTGGCTCACACCTGTATTCCCAGTGCTCTGGGAGGCCAAGGTGGGAGGATCACTTGAGGACAGGAGTTCAAGACCAGTTTGAACAACATAGAGACTCTGACTCTATAACATAAAAATTAAGATAAAAGATTGCTAGGTGTGGTAATCTTAGCTACTTGGGAAGCTGAGCCGGGAGGATTGCTTGAGCCCAGGAGTTGGAGGTTATGGTAAGTTATAATTGCACCATTGCATTCCAGCCTGGGCTACAGAGCAAGACCCTGTTCCTAAATAAATAAATAAAAAGACAAGGTAGGGTGCAGTGGCTCACGCCTGTAATCCCAGCATTTTGGGAGGCTGAGGTGGGTGGATCATGAGGTCAGGAGTTCGAGACCAGCCTGACCAACATGGTGAAACCCTGTCTTTACTGAAAATACAAAAATTAGTGGGGCATGGTGGTGCATGCCTGTAATCCCTGCTACTCAGGAGGCTGGCAAGAGAATTGATTGAACTGGAGAGGCAGAGGTTGCAGTGAGCTGAGATTGCACCACTGCACTCCAGCCTGGGTGACAGAGTGAGACTCCATCTCAAAAAGAAAAAAAAGAAAGAAAAAAGACAAATATACACAAATATAGGAAGCACAATTTGTGGCAAGAAGGATAACTATTAAGAAATTCACTCTAGTTACACCTAAGTGAAACTGCAGAACAGTAAACACAAACAATATCAAAGGTTAAAAAGGAAGCATAGATCATCTACAAAGAAGCAGTAACTAAACTGGACGTACGCTTCTCAATAGCCAAGTAAAAAACAGAAGACATTGAAACAATTCAAGGTGCTCACAGACAGGAAAACTCTTCCTGAAAAAAATAATTTTGGTGGGTATAAAATTTCATGTTTACAGATAGGTTAAAAAAAAAGACATTTTCAAATAAATGAAAACTGAGTTTACCAACAAACTGGTTCCTAAAGAAGTTTCTAATGGATGTGCACAAGAAAGATTTAAAAAAAATTATCCCAGAAGAAATGTGTGCGATGCAGGAAGAAATAGCCATTTCCAGTAAAGTTAACCATGAAACTAATTAGCATCAGTTTCATATCAGACCCTTAGAAATGAGAGAGGGTGGTTCACTAATATACATATATATATTTTGAGATGGAGTTTCGCTCTTGTTACCCAGAGTGGAGCAGCAATCTCTGCTCACTGCAACCTCCACCTCTAGGGTTCAAGCCATTCTCTGGCCTCAGCCTCCTGGGTAGCTGAGATGACAGACACCTGCTACCACTCCAGCTAATTCTTTAACATATTTTTAGTAGAGACAGGGTTTCACCCTGTTGGCCAGGCTGGTCTTGAACTCCTGACCTCAGGTGATCTGTCTGCCTCAGCCTCCCAAACTGCTGGGACTAATTTTTTAAAAAAGATCTGCTACCAGTAATTCCACTTCTGAGTATATCCTAAAAGAATTGAGACTGGGTGCTGTGGCTCATTCCTGTAATCCCGGCACTTTGAGAGGCCGAGGCTGGCGGATCACTTGAGGTTAGGAGTTTGAGACTAGCCTGGCCAACATCATGAAGCCCCGTTTCTACTAAAAATACAAAAATTAGCTAGGTGTGGAAGCACGTGTTTGTAATCCCAGCTACTCAGGAGGTGGTGGTGTGTGTTTGTAATCTCAGCCACTCAAGCGGCTGAGGCAGGAGAATTGCTTTTATTCAGGAGGCAGAGGTTGCTGTGAGCCAAGATCGCACCACTGCACTCCAGCCTGGGGGACAGAGCAAGATTCTGTCTCAAAAAAAAAAAAAATTGGAAGCATGATTTCAAATAGATAAATGTTCATAGCAGCATTATTCATACTAGCCAAAAGGTGAAAATAACCTAAATGTCCATCAATAAATGAATGGACCAGTCCAATACAAAATGTTGTATATGCACACCATACAAGATAATTCAGCCTTAAAAATATGATTTGACCTTAGTAAAATTCAGACATATGCTATAACATGGATGAATCTTGAAGATATTTGGTAAGTAAAATGAGCCAGTCACAAAAGGACACATATTGTATTATTTCACTTATATGAGGTACCTAGAATAGTCAAATTCATAGAGACAAAAGTGGAATGGTGGTTTTGTAAGGGCTGAGGGAAGGGAATGGAGAGTTACTGTTTAATGGATACTGAGTTTTAGTTTGGGAAGATGAAAGGTTCTAGAGATGTAGTAATGATTATACAATGAAGTGAATGTACCTGATGCCACAAACTGTACACTTAAATTGTCAAAATAATAAGTTTTGTGCTATTTTGTGTATTTTACCACCAAAAAGATCTGCCAAAAATATGATTCTATGTATTAGAAAGGGATAAGTGAAAATTTGTATTAATAAACATTTAGCTGTTTGGTTTAAACATCAAATTTCACTGTGAAGAAAGAATGTATATTTACATACATATGCTTAGAAAAATATATGAATGGACAAATAGAAAAATGTTTAAAGGAGTTATTCCTGGCTGATGGGCTTACAGGTAATTTTTATTTTCTTATATTTTATATTCATATCTTTTTCTTAATGTATATGCTGCTGAGGTGAGTACTTACACTCTTATTTTTATTTTTATCTGTATTTTCTAATTTTCCTAAAATGAGTTCATGAAATGAGTGTAGTGATTCTACAGTTCAGCTTCCTCTTTGTCTCCAGGACGCATCCAAAGATGCACGTGCTTCCCTCTCTCACCTGCCACTACCATCTGTTATTTGCGGCAACATCTGTTATTTGCTGCTCCCTCCTGATTTCTTGCAACTGTAAGTAGCTTGTAGCTTGTTGGTCACTTTGGTATTTAATGGATGTTATTAGGTCTCAGAGTTTTGATATGATGAGTAAGATTTCGACAGACATAACAGGATAGAGGTGATTACAGTCAGAAAGAATGTTATGAGCCAACGGTAAAGTCTATGGTATGACCTTTACGCCTGCCAGACTGACTGAGTGGTCCTTCCCGCCTCGCCCCCTGCCGGCAACAATGATAAAAAATGGTCTTTTCCACACTTGATGGTTCACAAAGCACTTTCACAGTAAATCCTCACAATCAAGGGAGGTTGGACTTATTGTCTAAGGTTTACAGAATAAAAAGGTCTCTCTTTTTTTTTTTTGTCTGGTGGTGAATAGCAAACAGAGTGATAAGAAACCTCTTTTTACTGTGGCAGTGCAGATTCCCGCCGGCCCCCCTCCCTCCACCTGCGGCTGACTCAGGGATGCTCCAACTCATGGGAGAACCCTTATCCCAGCTACTGAAAACAAACCCTCCTCACATGGGGAAAGGTGCAACCATGTGCAAAAGAACTGTCACTTTTGGGGACTCAGCTATACTCAACTCAGGAAAGTCACAAAACAATCCTGGGTTTGAGAGAGAAGAGTTATGGGGAGAACTTTCCATTTTGACAGGGACTCCATCCACTGTGTCACTCGCCTCTCCCTATCCTTGGGGTACTTTCTTTTGGGGAGCCTCCTCCAGGGCCCAAGTAGTGCTTTTCTCCTTTAGGATTCCAAGCAGGTACGAAGCCCCCTTTTACTTGTTTTTCCTTAGGAGAGCTGAGGGGCTGATGCTTTCACAAAGAACCACGCTGCCTTCAGCTCTCCTATCCTGCCTGTGCCCACTGTCCCAGCAAAACAGAATCCCTGTGCTTCATCTACTTCCTCACAGAGCACATTTTGGATCTGTGTCCCAGAGCATCTCTTTGGCAGAACTTAAGATACCTCTCTGTGCCGTCAAGGAAAGGGAGGCTGGACAGAGTAACTATTTTGATTCTAAATTACCATGGTGGGACCAAAAAGGTTTTGAACAGCTCTAAGTGATAAGTGTCCACACACATATAACCATAATGCATCTTCTGTCAATGTGGAGTCCTTCTCCCTTTCTTACTGTCTAGTTAATGTCAAAGATCTAATTTCTGTCCTCTCCCAGCCCCTCTCACCCCAATGTAGCAGGCCACTGCTTCAGATTGCTTCCGCAGCTGGATGTCCTGCTGTTTCTTTACAGGGAGTTAAGTATAGCCTAATGATCAAGGGTATAAGCTCTGAAGTCAGGCTACCTGGGGATGATTTCTGCTCTGTGGATTACTGGCTATTTGACCTTTAACAAGTTACTCAACCTCTCTAAGTTTTGGTTAATTATAGCACCTATTGGATTGGGTTGTTTTGAGGATGAAATGAAATGAGGATGAAAGAACATGGCAAGGCTCAGCAAGATAATAGGTTGGACCGAAGGAGGCTAGGTGCAGTGGCTCACACCTCTAATCCCAGCATTTTGGGAGGCTGAGGGAGGCGGATCACAAGGTCAGGAGTACAAGACCAGCCTGGGCAACATAATAAAACTCCGTCTCTATTAAAAATACAAAAAAAAAAAAGAAGAAGAAGGAAAAGAAAAAAGAAAAAATTAGCAGGTGTGGTGGAGGGCTCCTACTGTGGTCCCAGCTACTTGAAGGCTGAGGCAGAAGAATCGCTTGAACCTGGGAGGCAGAGGTTGCAGTGAACCAAGATCGCATCACTGCACTCCAGCCTGGACAACATAACGAGACTCTGTCTGAAAAAAAAAAAAAAAAAAGGAGAAGAAAGAAAGAACGAAAAAACAAACAGCATAATTCCAGGCACGTATTATATGCTCAATAAGTGATAGGTATTATCACAATAAGCATTGCTGTGTTTCCAATCTGAGGAACATATCTAGTTCACAATTTGTTTGTAGAGCAGAGAAAATGGATTTAACTAATTTTCAGTGAAACAGCTCTCTCTTCTCCTGATAAATTTCCAGCCCCACACCTTTGTCCTAGGGCCTTTTTAAGGACTTTTAAGAACTCACCCCTCAGGTCTCTTGCTTCTTTCCCAGAGAACTGTCCTGTGGGAGTGACTGAGAAAGGCAATGTGTCCCTCCCTGCCTGTGGTCTTGAGGAGAGAGGGCTTTAACTGAGGGTCTCTGGTTTCTCTGCTGAGAAGTACTAGATATCTGTTGTCTGGTGTGAAAGTGCTCAACAAGGCTAACAGGGTTATGTTATTGACCCAATAATGGGCTTTGGGCCTGAGGCAGCCATTTGGGGTGCATTGGGCCGCGTGTTGTCAGGCTTCCTCTGATTTAAGCTGCAGCTGTGGTGAGCTTAACCTTAACCCTTAACCGTGCCAGCATCCCATCTATGAGGCCTTGCCTCTGCCTTTCTCCCTCAGCTGAGAGAAGTGCAGGAGAGGACAGGAGCATCAGTGCTCTGAGCGAGACCCTCAAGCAATGGAGGGCACAGGTCAGTGCCCAGCCTCCTGTCCTTTCTGAGGTGTGTTCTCCAGTATTCCTCAGAGGGTCTGCTCTGAGCTCCACCTCAACAGCTAGCTCAACATGCACCTTTGGGTTGGCATTTTCTTCTTCCCTGACTCACGTTTTCTGGCTCCTCCCTTCTAATCCCTGGGATCACCCTCTCAGGAAGTCTCAAGTCCAGGTCTCAGGGGCACTGTTTTCAGGGAACACAACTCAAGACACACCCTTTGGCCTGTTTCCTCTTCATTGTTTCTCCCCTGAATGATTGTGTAACTAGGATCCCGATCTGAAAGGAAAGAGGAAAGGAAGGGAAAGGAGGGGAACCGAAAGGAATCTAACCTCCTCAGAGATGGGGCCTGATGTATATACGCTGGAGCCTAGGATGTGCTAGGGACTCTCTCCCACCTATCACCTCATTCTAAGTTTAGCAACAAATCTGTGAGATGGAGTATCATTAGCCCCATTTAATGGATGTGAAACGGAAAAGGCCATGAAAGTAACCAGCCAAAGGTCACACGTTGACTTTGTGGCAGAGGAGGGTTTTAAACCCTGATCTATGCTCTTTTTAGCTATCTTCCTTTTTGGGCGAAGTCCCTTCGCAGAATCTGAAAGAAGAAAAGCTTTGAATCAATAAGACAATTTTAGTTGTTTTTTTTTATTAAATATGTTAACAGCTTTACTGAAGTGCAATTGACATCAATAAACTATACATATTAAAGGTATACAATTTGGTAAAATTTGACACATGCATATACCTGTGAGATCATCACCACAATTAAAATAGTGAACATATTAATCTCCGGTTTCAGGCTGTTTTTGCGTTACTATAAAGGAATACCTGAGACTGGGTAATTTTTTTTTTTCTGAGAAGGAGTTTTGCTCTTTTTGTCCAGGCTGGAGTGCAATGCGTGATCTCAGCTCACCACAACCTCCGCCTACTGGGTTCAAGCAATTCTCCTACCTCAGCCTCCCGAGTAGCTGGGATTACAGACATGTGCTACCATGCCCAGCTAATTTTGTATTGTTTTTGGTACAGACAGGGTTTCTCCATATTGATCAGGCTGGTCTCAAACTCCCAACCTCAGGTGATCTGCCCGCCTCAGCCTCCCAAAGTGCTGGATTACAGGCGTGAGCCACCGTGCCTGGCAGAGACTGGGTAATTTATAAAGAAAAGAGGTTTAATTGGCTTATGGTCTGCAAGCTGTACAAGCATGGCACCCCCATCTGCTCAGCATCTGGTGAGGGCCTTAGAAAGCTTACAATCGGCTGGGCACGGTGGCTCACGCCTATAATCCCAGCACTTTGGGAGGCTGAGGCAGGTGGATCACGAGGTTAAGAGATCGAGACCATCCTGGTCAACAAGGTGAAACTCTGTCTCTACTAAAAATACAAAACTTAGCTGGGCATGGTGGTGCGTGCCTGTAGTCCCAGCTACTTGGGAGGCTGAGGCAGGAGAATTGCTTGAACCCAGAAGGCGGAGGTTGCGGTGAGCCGAGATCGTGCCATTGCACTCCAGTCTGGGTAACAACAACGAAACACCATCTCAAAAAAAAGAGAAAGCTTACAATCATGGCAGAAGGCAAAGGGACAGCAGGCAAATCACATGGCCAGAGTAGGAGCAAGAAAGAAGGAGAGAAGTCCCGGAGCAGATCTCACCTCAAAAGAACTCATCACCAAGGGGATGGTGCTAAGTTACTTATGAGGGATCCACTCCCATGATCCAGTCACCTTCCTCAAGGCCCCATCTCCAACACTGGGAATCACATTTCAACATGAAATTTGGAAGGGAAAAACATCCAAATCATGTCACTCCCAAAAGCTTCCTCATGCTCCTTTCAATCCATCCCTTCTGCCTTTCTGTGCCACTTATTCCCTCTTTCTTGGGAACCACCAATCTGCCTGTTGTTGCTTTTGACCGATTTACATTTTCTATTTTATATAAATAGAATCACATAACATGTATTCTTTTTTGTTTTGACCTCTTTCACTCAACAGGATTATTCTGAGACCCATCCATGTTACTGTGTGTATCAATCGTTCATCCCTTATTGATGAGTAGTGTTCCATTGTACAGATATGTCACAATTTCTTCATCCATTTACCTGATCATGATCAAAATATTTTGACAACAAATAAAGCCCCTGTGAATATTCATGCAAAAGTCTATGGCATATGCTTTCAATCTTGGGTAAATATCTTGGAGGGGAACAGCTTAATCAAAATGTAAGCTTATGTATTAGTCTGTTCCCACGCTGCTAATAGAGACATACCTGAGACTGGATGATTTATAAAGGACAGAGGTTTAATTGACTCACAGTTCTACATGGCTGGGGAGGCCTCACAATCATGGTGGAAAGGCAAGGAATGTCTTACATGGTGGCACTGCAACCTTTGCCGTCCCAGTTTATAAAAAGAAATCCCCCTTTATAAAATCATCAGTTCTCGAGAGACTTATTCACTATCAGGAGAACAGCATGAGAAAGACTTGTCCTCATGATTCAATTACCTCCTACTGGGTTTCTCCCATGACACATGGGAATTGTCTCTCTCTCTCTGTCTCTCTGTCTCTCTCTCTCTCTCTCTTTCTTTCTCTCTCTCTCTGTTGATACTTGCAATGTTGCAAAGAAGTCCAAGCCTCATGGAGCAGTCACGTGTACATGGTATAGCCAGTTGCCCTGGCTAAAGTCTCAGTCAACAGCATCACCTGCTAGACATGGTGATTCTAGCTCCCAGCCTTTGAGTTCTCCACCAGACATTGCTGAACAGATAGAAGCCTTGCTCACTGCACCGTCTGTATTTTTTACTCACAGAAACTGTGAGAGATAATGATCATTGTGGTTTAAAGCTATAAAGTTTTGAAAGTGATTTGTTATGAAGTAATAGATAACTTGGAATGTTTGTGTGTAAAATTTTTCACCTGAGACACTTGAAAGCTATTAGCTTCAATCCTGGAGAAACAAAGACACATTGCAATTTTTGAATTTATTGTGAAATGGGTCTTTTATGAGTCTTGTCAATCTTATTCTTAGGTTTAATATTTTCTCCCCTAAGGCCAGACACAGTGGCTCATGCCTGTAATCCCAGCACATTGGGAGGCTGAGGCCAGAGGATTACTTGAGGCCAGGAGTTCAAGACCAGCCTGAGCAGCACAGGAAGACTGTCTCAACAAAATATAAGGCACATCCGTAATCTTAGTTACTCGAAAGGCTGAGGCAGGAGGATCACTTGAGCCCAGGAGTTCAAGGTTACAGTGAGCTATAATTGTGTCACTGCACTCCAATCCAGGCTTTATTTCTAAAAATTTATATATCTATTACTTCATGGGAAAAAATTTTCAAAATTAAAATTAGCTTTCAGCCATAAAAAGAAATAAAGTACTGATACATAAAACAATACGGATGAACCTTGGAAACATTATGCTAAGTCAAAGAAACGGGACACAAAAGGCCACATATCGTATAATTCTACTTATATGAAATGTCAAGAACAGGCAAATCCATAGACACAGAAAGTAGATTCATGGTTTTCAGGCATTGGAGCAAAGGGAGAATGAGAAGTGACTACTAATTAATAAGCATAAGATTTCCTTTTGGGCTGAGGAAAATGCCTTAGAATTAGATATGGTGATGACTGTGCAACTTATGTGAATATACGAAAACATACTGAACTGTAGACTTAAAGAGTCAATTTCATGCTATATGAATGGTATCTCAGTAAAAATTAAAATTATTAAGAAGTTTTATCAACTAGGAGTAAGAGATCAACAAATCTGTCTATATAGTCTATTGAAGATACATACATGAAGATTTTTTTTTTTTTGAGACAGTCTCACTCTGTCTACCAGGCTGGAGTGCAATGGTGCAATCTCAGCTCACTGCAACCTCCACCTCCGAGGCTCAAGCAATTCTCGTGCCTCAACCTCCTGAGTAGCTGAAATTTCAGGCATGTGCCATGAAATTTCATGAAACCTAGAGACAAGGTTTCACCCTATTGGTCAGGCTGGTCTTTAACTCCTGGCCTCAAGTTGATCTGCCTGCCTTGGTGTCTCAAAATACTAAAGATCAATTTTGATAAGGTCATTGACAAATTTGTGAAAGTTCAGACTCAAAATAGAATTTGTAATGTTATTTTTCTTCCCTGTGACCAACCAATATAAGACACATATTTCCTTTTTTAAAAACAAAAAGTAGGCCGGGCTTGGTGGCTCATGCCTATAATCCCAGCACTTTGGGAAGCTGAGGCGAGCAGATCACTTGAGGTCAGGGGTTTGAAACCAGCCTGGCCAATGGTGAAACCCTGTCTGTACTAAAAATACAAAAATTAGCCAGGCATGGTTGCAGATGCCTGTAATCCCAGCTACTTGTGAGGCTGAGGCAGGAGAATCACTTTGAACCTGGGAGGCAGAGGTTGCAATGAGCCGAGATCATGCCACTGCACTCCAGCCGGGGCAACAGAGCAAGACTCCATCTCAAAACAAACCCCAAAAGTATATTACTATCACTGAAATTATTAACCCATTGCTTTTTTCCTTTTTTTTTTCTTCTTTGAGGATATCTTTTTTTTTTAAATTGTACTTTAGGTTCTGGGGTACATCGTGCAGATCATGCAGGATTGTTGCACAGGTACACACATGGCAATGCGGTTTGCTGCCTCCACCCCCCCGTCACCTATATCTGTCATTTTTCCCTATGTTATTCCTTCCCCACCTTCCCACCCGCCACTGTCCCTCCCCCAGCCCCGCCAACAGACCCTAGTGTGTGATGCTCCCCTCCCTGTGTTCATGTGTTCTCATTGTTCAACACCCGCCTATGAGTGAGAACGTGCAGTGTTTGGTTTTCTGTTCTTGTGTCAGTTTGCTGAGAATGATGGTTTCCAGATTCATCCATGTCCCTACAAAGAACATGAACTCATTGTGTTTTTATGGCTGCATATTATTCCATGGTGTATATGTGCCACATTTTCCTTGTCCAGTCTATCATCAATGGGCATTTGGGTTGGTTCCAGGTCCTTGCTATTGTAAACTGTGCCACGGTGAACATATGTGTGCACGTGTCTTTATAATAGAACTATTTCTAATCCTTTGGGTATACACCCAGTAATGGGATTGCTGGGTCAAATGGAATTTCTATTTCTAGGTCCTTGAGGAACCACCACTCTGTCTTCCACAATGGTTGAACTAATTTACACTCCCACCAACAGTGTAAAAGTGTTTCTATTTCTCCACATCCTCTCCAGCATCTGTTGTTTCCAGATTTTCTAATGATCACCATTCTAACTGGCGTGAGATGGTATCTCAATGTGGTTTTGATTTGCATTTCTCTAATGACCAGTGATGATGAGCATTTTTTAATGTTTGTTGCCCTCATATGTCTTCTTTTGAAGTGTCTGTTCATATCCTTTGCCCACTTTTGAATGGGTTTGTTTGTTTTTTTTCTTAGTCTGTTGTAGTTCTTTGTAGATTCTGGATATTAGCCCTTTGTCAGATGGGTAGATTGCAAAAATTTTCTCCCATTCTGTTGGTTGCTGGTCACTCTAATGATTGTTTCTTTTGCTGTACAGAAGCTCTGGAGTTTAATTAGATCCCATTTGTCTATTTTGGCTTTTG